CAGGCTGCGCTCTTCAGGCGGCCAAAGCTCGAGCATCTCCTGGCCAGCCCACTGCCTGCTGCCCAGGTCCCCCGCAGGCAGCTGGGGGTGGGCTGCCCCCAGGCAGGGCTCATGCATGCAGGGGCAGCTCGCTTTCAAATCCTGCTCCATTTTACAGCAGGGACAGCCATGCTGCTCCTTGCATGATGAAAGGAGGGGGAAAAAAAAAAAAAAAAGCCACTCTCATAGAACCATAGAATCATAGAATCATTAAGGTTGGAAAAGGCCTCTAAGATCATCCAGTCCAACTGTTAACCTAGCACTGCCAGAGTTCACCACTAAACCACATCCCTAAGTGCCACATCTACATATCTTTTCAATACCTCCAGGGATAAAAAAAAAAGGCATCATTGTAAATGACCTAACGCTTTTAAAAACTCGCCATGGCAGGGACAGGGGTATCTCAGAAATATTTTAATTAAATGAGCTCAAAATTACACCAGGCGCTCTGCACAAATAAACTGGCCAAACGCATCAATTTTCACACCAGTCCGACTGCATGTGGCTTGCAGAGGATGCAAAATCTTGCTTTAAACAAGCTTGTTGAAATTCAGCAATTTTGCCAATTTGCTAAAATAGAGCTTAGCTATGCAAAGCAGCAGAAGTCCCACAAAATCAGATGTACCTGACAGAGTAGGAGGTGTAGAGGAGCTAGATTTTAAAGTGCTTGAAATGCCTCCTTGTTTTGAGCCTGCAAAACTCAGCTGGACACTTCCCAGAAAAAGGCTTGCAGAAGACTTTCACAGAAGCAGCTTTTAAGAAGTGCCTATATAGGATTTCATCCTTTCTGGCATCAAAGAAAACCTGGATTAAAGCTGCACTCAGCAATCCAAGTAGCAAAAAAAGGATGATTCCAAATTCTCTAGAACGACTGCACCAAGCTCCAGCCAGGTAGCACCGGCTGCACTGGAGACATGCCAGGAGCACAGACAGGAAAGCATTTGCATGTATTTACATCATGAGAACATAAAAAATACACGGTTATTGTTGTCATTTAGGGCCCCATGTGCTCAGCCATTCTGAAAAAAAAAAAGAAAGGATGTTTTGCAGCTAGCTCAGGCACTTTAAACTGAAATCTTCAACAACTCACAGTCCTTATGGTTCGGAAGATGCATCAGTTGGGCTCTTGCTCTCCAGTACCGTAACATCCTCTTTGGTAACTGATGGACATATGACCTGTCCCAGATCACTCTCATCAGCTCCCATCTGAATTTCTCAAGCTTTGCCTGTGGCTGGCACACAGCAGAAGAGCACTGTGGCCTCCTAGGAAGCTGCTGCTTCCTAGGAGAGCCTGGGCAAGGAAGGTCCCCTGGGCTCACACCAACAGGCCAGGCTGGCTGCAGCTTTAACAACCATTTAGTTACTGTTGAGCTTGGGACTTTTTGACGTTCAGGTGCCCACGGGTAACTATCTGGACTTACGGATCGGTTTCTCACACCTTGCATCCAGAGGAGCCAAGGAGCATTTTGAAGGCCAACCTACCCCAGCAGTTTAGGGCATGAAGCAACATGGACTGGGTCACCCTGTTTTGGGATGAGGAGGAGAAGGGGTTCAGTTGTACAAACACAAGCCCAACTGCTTGTCAGGAAAACAAGCCCTGGCCTATTGTATTTATTAGTACTGACGTGGCCATCGGTGCTCTGCAGGAAAGCCAGAAGACGTAGGCTTTGGGGGAAAGCTGCAGCAAACGCTCATAAATCACTGTCCAAGTGCATCCTTGGCATGGTTAATGTCCTGTTCCACTGAGTCCTTTCAGGGCCAGGGATTTGCACCAAGACGCGGAGCAAGACGGGGCTGCGTCCCCAGTAAGCCCAGCCGATGCAGGCAGGAAAAGCAGGAAGGCAGAGGCAGCTGGCTGAGCATCTCCCCTTCCCTCCTTGCCCCTGAGCTGCGAGAATCCTGGGAATTCTCCAACATCCTCCTGCTTCTGGACAGAAACCCTCCCTCCATCCAGCACCATGAGGATGGCCATGCCACCGCCAGCCCTTTAGCAGGGGGGAGGAAAGGGATGGCATCCCTGCCCTGCAACGCCAACTCCCTGTATAAAGTCCCTCTCAACCCAGATCCACAAAAGGGACAAGATTTGGGCTTAAAACATTTTGCTCTGGTGGAGCCGTTCTGCCCACAGCCATTGCTCTGCTTTGCTCTCGGGAGAGTGGCAGAAGGGTGGCAGAGTCCAGCCCGGAGCAGGAATCCCAGCAATGCCAGCTATGCCGTGTCCTCCTCTTTGCCCCCAAAGGGTCAGATCTCCATCTAAACAGGAAGCTGGGATCAGCCAGGCCCATGCACTTGCCCTCGGAGTCCCGACTGCTGGGGAGGAGAGGGGAGGCAGCGCTGCAGGAGCTGCTGCTGCTCATGGCCCCGTCCCTCCCTGCTCCCAGCCCAGCGCAGGCAGTTATGGGGGGCTTCCAGGGCGCTCTCCCCCTCAGGACCCCTGCTGTCAGGCAGGGTGCTTCCTCACTTCTTTGCAGGATCATTTTTTTTGTCATTTAGTAAATAGAGGCAAAGCCCAGTAAGCAGCTAGGGCAAAGGCAGCACTGAGAAAGGGGAGTTGCAGCAGCAGGGGGACGGTGAGGGTCCCCCTCCTTCACCAGCAGCAACTAACTCCAAACAAACTGGGACACAGCACTTTCTCCCTAAACCAGGGACTGCATTAAAAACCATACAAACCTCAGGGTCAGCAGCTGCTTCACACACCACACGCAGAACCGCTGCAGCTTGCACTTGAAGATCTCTCACTGCTTGCTTTCTGTGCCTAAATAAGCTTTTTCTTCCTCTGGTTTCCCCATGCCAGTATTTTGGGATTACTTTATTCCTTAAAGAACACAACTACCCTTCTGCTTTAAGAAGGACACGCATTCCTTGACCTCCAGCCAAACTGAAACCAGCCTCCGGCACCCAGCCCAGCCAGCGAATGCCCTTGCAACGCCACGGTAACATCTCGCTGCTGGGTGCAAGGGCAGCGCAAAACACAGGAAACCAGGGAAGGGCTATACACATAAACTCCAGTCAAACAAACCATCCTGGCATCACCTTCACAAACAGCACCCCACGATAAATAAACAGACATTAAATGTCTCTCTGGCCGATCTGGTCTGCAAACTCACGGCCTTTCAATGACTTGCATCTCTCCCGTCTTACACTAGACCAAGAAAGCCTGAGCACGTTTCAAGCACATCATTCATCATGAGAAATCATTATTTTGCCCTAATTTGTGTCCTTTCCCTGCCATTCAGAGCTTTATCTATGAATTTTCTTGACTATGCTTAAGTTTATTTATATTGGTCAACAAGGATGTTTTGGTGGTGTTTTTTTTTTCCTAGGGTTTATTTAAGCCCTCAAAGTTGTGCCAAATCTCCCATACTGACATGGAGTTATGTGATTTTGGGGCTGGAGCTGCATTCTTTCAAAAGTCTTATCTTGAAAGGCAGCAGAGGAAACAGCTGTTTATAAGAGCTCTTGATGGCGTGACCGCTGTTCTGTCCCAAACCTCATTTGGAACCAAGGTGGGCAAACCTAATGCCATAAAGGACTTCTCAACTTGTGCACCGGCCACAACATTAGCCACCACCAAGAGGACAGGGTAGCAGGTAGGAAAGCTGCTGAGAAAAGCCCACAAACTATTTACACGCTGAAAGTTTGAAACAGAAGAGCCTTGCAATCTGTGTCCTTGGGATATACTCCTGTCCTTGGGATAGGATACTCCTCTCCTTCTCTGGCGATGAGAAAAGAGAAAACGAGATTATAGCAAGAGTCTGCAGGAGGGGCTGAGAGAGGAGCAGGTCAACAGCCGAGCTGCTCAGCCACACGAACAGGTCCAGTGCTCATGGGATCCCACGAGGCCACCAGAAAGGCAGCTCATGCATTACTCAACTCCCTGCAACTATCCTCAGCTCCTTCCAATTAAAAGTGCTTGTTCCCAGGAGAGCGCCATCCCTGGAAGATAGGGCAGACCCCTTGCTGTGACCCACAGAGCAGACCAAATTACCTGTGCCTGTGGCCACACCACCACCACGTACATCAGACCAAGGTCCAACCACTGCCCAAAGTGCTGTCTTGTGCATCGGACAGCAGTCAAGCTCCTGCTGTTTTAAGCCTTGGGCAGCGAGCTCGCTGGGTGCGTGGTTTGCTCACCTCCCAGCCCACCCTTGAACACTTTCCAGTTGTGCAGGCAAGAGGCCAAGGTGCAGAGGAAAAGCTCCTCTCCTGGCTATCGGCCAAGCATTATATGGCAACAGCTCCCCGTATCCTGACTATAAGTATTTTGGGAAGCCAGATGACTTCATTACCAGCTGACATCCCCTGACCTACTCGCTGTTAAACAAGCTTGCTGCTGGTCGGCCCCAGAGCTCATTACTCAGCATTTTAATTTGCACATTGCCATTTACCAGGCACTAACCTGCTGGCATATCCAGGCAGCACCCGAATTTTCATGCAGCTGAAGCTCTTACGCATGCAGTAAAACACAAATGTACCTCTTCCACAAGTAGTTTGCTGTTACCTTTGAATTGGGACTGACACATGAGGAAATCCTCCGAATTGCGGACATGCTACAGTTTCCATCCGGTGCTGGCAGCCCCACATCCCACACCCACCTTCCACCCCATCCCCACCTCCGCAGCACACGCTCCTGCACAGGATGCAGCACCATGAGCACAGAGACGGCTCTGCTACCACTCAGGCTGCAGCTAACCCCAGCCACGGCAGATGGGATGCCCGGGTACCACGGGGCATAGCCAGTGCTGGGGATGCTCCAAATGTGACGGTGTGGCACATGAAGCTTGCAGGCACCATGCCCGGGTTACAGGGCGATCTCAATGGAGAGAGGGATGGTGAAAAATAGAGTTATGAATAACCTGGAGGACAGGACTTATGTGAGAGAAGGCTGTAAGCGGAGGCGGAGGAGCGGTACCTCTGTTACCCCGATGCAGAAGGGGAAGGAGCATCCTCACCACACTCACCCTGATCCGCCGCATGGCCGTCACGATCTCCACCCGGCTGTTTGGCCGCGGCACATCCAGACTCCCGATGTACTAGAGGGAAAGAAAGAGCTGATTAGTCAAGTTTCCACAGCACTGGAAACCTCACGGTCCCACCATGGCCTCGATGGCATCCCTGGGGGGAACCCAGGGTCCCTTCTGGGGAACAGGTGGCGTGTTGCCCACTGCACCTGAAGCCTTGCACGCTTCCCACCACAAAGCTGTTCCTTCACCACAACATTTCAAGGATTCAGCCGACCTTATTCTAACAATAAAATAACTTCAGTAATCAGGCCAGCAGGACTCATTCATCTATGCCATGATCAAAGTACAGAGGTATAAGCCAATATCCCCTTGGCTGCACTGAGTCATCTATTATAGACCTGGATATTGGAATATCCCTAAAATAGCTGGGGCAACCTGTCCTGTGACAGGCCCTTCACTATTTAATTATAGCCCTGCCAAACCCTTGGCTGTTTTTGCAGCGATGCTGAGCCTCCAGGCCAAGCCTCCAGAATAAAGGAGCCCCTTTGTTATTCAAAGGGGACCAAAGGCAGCACTGCTGCGACCCAGCACGGAGAGATGCCGAACAAAAACCTTTTCAAAAATAAAATGGAAGAGGGCAGATTCAGAAGAAGGATCAGAAAACAGACAAGCGATGCAGAGTCAATGCGAAGCACTAAAAACGTGTAGTTAGAAGAAAAGCATTTTGAGTCTATTTACTAGCCCCCTGTGCTCCCACACTTCATCTCGACACGAGCACTGACGTAACCCTCTGCAGCGCAACATGGGCACTAAACCTGGCAGGGCTGTATGTTCCTGTGAATACGGCCGTAACCTTTGCTGACACCATGAAAACCCAGGCCACTGGTTTCAAGCACCAGTGCCGAGATGGGTGCTTAAATGGCTGACTATGTGCTAGGGGTCGTCGTACAGGCAGAGGCCACAGAGAGGGGTTATTTCTCACCCAGCATCGCTGCAGGACTCCTGGCTCCTCTCCGCTGGGACGCTGCTGTCACCTCTATCGAGGGCACAGAGCAGGGGCTGCACAACCACCCCTGGGTTTTGTGTGTGCGTGCAGTCCCGGAGAGCCCTCCTTGCTTACCCTCCGTGCCCGCACCCCAAACTCAACAAGCCCACCTGCATGGCGAGGCCATCCCCAGCAGCACGGCTCATGCCTCGGGTGCAGATGGAGGCAGGCCTCCAGCGAGCGGCACCGGGCAGTCAGTGCCGAGAGTAGATGCAAAGAGAGAGGATATAAAAATAAACACCAAACAGCTGGCATGTTCGTGACGGGCTGAGCAGGCTGCCACAGTGCAGGGCAGCTTTATGTAACCGGGAACTAAAGCCCACGATGCACGCCGCCGACAAAGGCGGCATTAACTGCCCAGACCCCAACTGCTGAATGCCCGACTGCAAAAGCACAAGTCTTGATAAGTTTTTAGTTGCATCCCCTAAATGGAGCCTTCCCACCCCTTCAAAGGTTCAGGTCACATTAAGAGAGGCGTCTTTGACATCAATCAATTCCCTTTTCTTATATAAAGTCTGGAAACCATCAGTAAAAAGTAGGAGATGAGGAGGAGGACTGAGGCAGCCAGAGCCCTGGGCACACAGTCACCGTGCAGCATGTAAGGGAGAAACCTTTCACCATCTTGCCCCACCAGGGGAACATCTGGGCTCCACAGCACCTCTCCCTCCGAGCCTCCCCACGTCACTCTTCTGCCGGGACCACCCGGCACTGCTTCCCACTCACCTGCAAGGGAGACTTCTTAGCTTGAATTATGAGAAGGACAGGCTTTTGCTAGCAAAAGGGACAGCCAGAGGATGCCTATCTTCTTCTAGCTATTCCCAACAGCACGAGGTCACTGCCACTGGAGGGGTAAATCGCTTTCCTTGCACAGGCGAGTGCAGAGTACAGCCACATGCAAGGACAGGGAAAGCGGTGGCAGCTATCAGTCGGGCAGGAGATGGCCCCGTCCACTGCTGGCTCTCACAGCCACATGAATTCGAGTAATGCCAACCTCCTGGCTGACGACCACAACCTCGTCCAGCAGCCACACTCAGTCATGCCCGTAATTGCATGGGCGAGCCCGGCAGGGCTGGGCCGCCCCATAAGCAAGTGATAGAGCAGAAACCAGACACCACCTTGGACCTCCTTGGATGGCCCTCCTGAAAAACAGCACCAGCAGTAGGAAGCATGTTGATGCCATCCTATATACGCCCCTTTATTCAGCTATTCCCCTCCAGACCATGCTTGCAAGCACGTGAACCAAGGGGCTCAGGTCACAAACCATGCAGGATTCACCTCTGCTTCCAAACCTGGGCTCCAGGGCATCCTGTTGCATCCCGCACCCAGGAGTGTAGCTCCACCAGAGCCCGCGGCACCTCCAGCCCCAGCATGGGCTCACTTCACACAATTACTGTGCTCACAGCTCCGAAAACACCCACCTCTCCCTCCTCTCTGGAGGCAGGTATTTTTTTGCACATTTCACAAAACTCAACAGGTGGACAAAGTCTCCCCAGATTATTTCTGCCTTCAGGGCAGAAATCACAAGCAGGAACTGCACTGCAGAGGAGTAACCCTTCACAATGTGATGAGTATTCTCCCAAAAATGTGGACTTGGAGGTCGGCCTTTCAGCTAAACTACTATTTCCCAGACGAGGAGTGGGGATGGTCTGAGAAACCACCCGTATTTATTAGTGATTTGCAGGCGATAAGTGCACCGAGGGCTGCTCCTTCTCTGCTCCACTCTCCTCCAGCTCTCCTACTCACAGCACCGACTTTTCATTTCAGGAAGAGGTGTGGGGAAAAAGCAGGTGAGGCAGAGATGAGGATCAGCAAAGCAGCAGGAGCCTCTGGGGTGGAGGACTCCCCCCTCATCCCACCCCAACGCTGAGACCCATCTTCCCCCTCCTGGGGCAGGAGCCCCAGGAAGCCCTGAGAATGGGGGCTCCCAGCCCCCAGGCATGGGCTTTTGACTTCCTTTAAAATCTGCATGCCCCAAGCGAGGTGCCAGGCGTGGCGGGGGGGCGGGTCCCCGCAGGGGCCGATGTCCCAGCTCCCAGGGCTCGGGCTAGCATCCATGCCAGCAGGTCAACCCCACGGGAAAGGGAGGCAGCGGGGCTGGGGCTGAGCCCAGGGAGGAGAAAGGAAGGCACCCGAGACAAAAGGAAGGAAAATAAAGCTGTATGGCTGACAAAGAAAATAAACCATAAACC